AAAAAAAAAAAAAAAAAAGTTAATTTTATTTCCTCCTTTTCAATCTATATTCTTTTTATTTCTTTTTCTTGTTTCATTGCATGGGATAACTTTTAGCATAATATTAATAGAGCTGATGAGAGTAGACATCCTTGCCTTGTTCCTAATCTTAGAGGAAAGTATTCAGTCTTTCACCATTAAATATGACGTTACATGCAGATTTTTGGAGACAGCCTTTATCAGACTGAGGAAGTTAACACCTATTCTTAGTTGATTATTTTATCATGGATGAATGCTGTGTTTTGTCAGATGCTTTTACTGCATCAATTGATATGTGATTTTTCTTCTTTAAACTGTGAATATGGTTGATATCCTGGACATTTTGAATATGACATTATAAAACAGGTTGCTTAAGTCGTATAAAAAACATTTATATTTTTGCTTTAGCAGTCAATCTGATTTTCAGGCCACAGGTTTCTACCAGCTTTCTGTGGGCTGAAGGCCCCAATGTCAGTTCAGTTTTCAAAGCCTTTGCAGTGTTATTCAGATCTGTCTGGTGTATGTGTGTTACTAAGTGGTTAGTCTGGAACCAGATGTGCTGTGTAATTTCCATGACCTCTAAGTAATAAACCTTATCTCTTTCAAAGTTTCCTGATGGTTATTGCTGCAAGTGTCTCTCAATCTTAATAAGAAACACAAAGGCCAGTCCAGCTACAACATTGGTTATCTATAGGCTGAGACTGATACAAAACACATGATTAGAATATTTAATATGGTTAAGATGGCAATAATCCCCAAATTAATCTATAAATTCAATGCAATTTCTACCAAAATCCCAGCTTTCTTTTCAGAAATTAAAGAGCCGATGCTAAAAAAATAATAAAATAACCAAAACAATCTTGAAAAGGAGGAAGAAAGTTAGAGAACTCACATTTCCTGATTCCAAAGTTGACTACAAAGCTACAGTAATCAAAGTGGTGTTACTGGAATAAGGATAGATATATAGGTAAATGGGATACAATTGATACTCCAGAAATGAGCTCTCATATTTACAGTCAATTAAGTTTCAACAACAGCACCAAGAGCTTTTTCAACAAATGGTGCTGGGGCAACTGGATATCTACATGCAAAAAAATAAAGTTGGACCCTTATATCACACCATATATAAAAATTAATTCAAAATAGATTTAAGGCCTAAATGTAAGAGCTACATATATAAAACTATTAGGATAAAACATGGGGTTAAATCTTCATCACCTTGGATTAGACATTGACTTCTTAGATATGATACAAAACCAAAAATAGATATATTAGACTTCAAAATTTTAAACTTTTATGCTTCAAATAACATTTATCAAGAAAATAAAGACCACCCAAAGAAAATATTTGCAAATGATATGTATGATCCAGAATATATAAAAAACTCTTACCACTCAATAATAAAGAGACAAATGACCCAATTAAAAGTTGGCAAAGAATTTGAATAGTCATTTCTCCAAAGACAATACACAAATGGCAAATAAACACATGAAAATATGCTCAACATCATTAATATTCAGGGAAAGGAAAAGCAATACCACAATAAGATACCACTTCACACCCAAGTAGAAGGCTATAATTTTTCCAAAAAGGTAATAAAAGTGTTAGAGAAGATGTGGAGAATGTAAAATTCTGTTGAGAATTAAAACAGTACATGATCCAGCAATTCCACCTCTAAGTATACACACAAGAGACATAAAACATATGTCCACACAAAACTTGACCAGGCATGTTCAAGCAGAATTATTCATAATTCGAGCCAAAAAGTAGAAACAACTCAAATTTTCATCAACTGATGACTAAATAAATAAAATGTAGTATATCCATAGAATGGAATGTTATTCAGCAATAAAAGGAAATGAAGTACAACACATGCTACAACATGGGTAAACCTGGAAAACATTATGTTAAGTGAAAGAAGCCAGACAGAAAAGGCCACAAATTTTGTCATTTAATTTCTATGAAATAACCAGAATAGGCAAATCTATAGAAACAGAAAATAAATTAGTGGTTGTCTAGGACTGAAGATTGTGGGGATAGGGTGGAATGGGGATTGACTGCTAATGGGTATAGGGTTTCTTTTTGGGGTGATAAAAGTGTTTCAAAATTAGATTGTGGCAATAGATGTACAACTCTGTGAATATACTAAAAACTATTAAATTGCACACTTAAATGGATGAATTGTATATGTGAGTTATATCTTAATAAAACTATTAAAAATACAAGTCATCCCCCCAAAAATGTATACACACTTTAACAGCTGATAGCTCAATTTTGAAAATGAAATGTATTTTAATAAACACTGCCTTTATAATTATTCAAAGTGTGTGTATGCATTTTTTGGGACACCCTATATATAAGGTTACAAAAAATCAGTTATATTGAACTAGAGTCTTCAAAACATAAAAACAAGTTCTTGATAGAGAAATAGATGTTCTTCTTTAATAAGGCATTAAATAACAAGATATAGGTCTAATAGCTCTCTTAATTATGAAGTAGTGGTAAGTGTAAAATAAATTTGAGACATGCAACAACAAAAACAATTTATGGTTCCATTAGTACCTCTAAAGAACAACAGGGTTAGAATAAAAAGGGAAAATAATTGAACAAGTTAATTGTTTCCCCTGACGAAGCTCCAGAATTAAAAAGCAGGTATAAGACACTTCTTTTAAGTGAAGCTAGAGATTTGAAAGATGGATTCCAGCCCAATGTTTTTAGCATGTTTATGTAAAGATGGCTGTGCCAGCCAAATCACTACCAAGCAGCTTGGACCTCCCTGACTGTACCCTTTAGTCATCTTGCAAAGCAGTGGAATGGGGCAGGAAGGAACCTAATGATATCTGGTCACCAAGGCAAATTAAGTTGGGAGAATGGGAAACTGACGCAAAGGATGAGAAAGCACTAAGACATCTAAAGGTGTGGCATGCTCTCCCTGTCCCCAACCCATCAGAAAAGGTAATATGAACAGACTAGCACAGTGAGTCTGGGGCCAGAATTGGAGAGGTATTTTCCCCATAACTTCTGCATTGACTGCCCCTTCTACCAGATATACACCTGAGGACTGATATTAAAAATATTTGACAAGTGGTAACAAATGGCCACAGACCACAGACCGATCAGAACAGTTGCCAGCCGCAGTAGTAGAATAGAGCTCTAGAGGTCTCCCCTGTGACAGACATTACTTGTTTCAGTGGCCAGATTGCGGGGAGGTCCCAGAGGTCCTAGAGACCAGATTAAGGCAGTATTTCTTTAATAACTGGCACAGAGGATGTTCAATTCCTCTGTGAACAAATGAGGTAGCTGTACCGTACACATCACCCAAAGATTATCTATCTATCTGTATCTGTATCTGTATCTGTATCTGTATCTGTATCTATACCTGTACCCTTACCTAAGGATATGTTTCTATTGATTTTTAGAGGGAAATGAAGTAGGAGGGAACATTAATGTGAGAGAGAAACATCAGTGTGAGAGAGAAACATCAACAGGTGGCCTCCCATACATGCCCCACCAGGGATCAAACCCGTAACCTAGGTATGTGCTCTGATCGGGAATTAAAACAACAAACTTTTGGTGTATGGGACAGCACTCCAACCAACCAAGCCACTGGGCCAGGGCAGAAATTTATCCTCTTGACAGAAGATAAAGGCCAAAAGATTTCAGCATGCAACTCCAAGCAGTTTTTTTCAAATTTAGACTCCAGAAAACTGTCTAACTATGAAAATAGGGCTATCTTTGAGTGAAATTCCTGATCGCTGCCTTTTCATCATCTAGGAAGAAGGAAAGCAAGCAAGCAATGTGAGATAGGGACCAAAGGGTATTGGTCCAGATCTGAATACTGAGGCCTGTCGGTCAAGTAGAGGTGTCCCTCCTTGGACTAGGTATTATTACCACCCAACCCCAACCCCACCCCAAGGATCCTCTTTCTACAGACTCATCCATCAATTCACACTTAAATCAACAATTCTTCTTTCCCTGAAGTGAAAGCCTCCAAACAGAGAAGGAAATTGGATAAGCTAGACCCTGAGGCATAATCTTTACTAGGCAGGAAAATAACACCCTTAGGCTATGCAATAATGGCTAGAGAACAGACTACTAGCTTTCAGAGGGAAGGGGTTGGAGACTGGGTGAGAAGGGTTAAGGGATTAAGCAAAGGGAATAAAGACTTAGGACACAGACAACAGCATGGTGATTGCCAGAAGGAAAGGGGTAGAGGTAGAAGAGCGTAAAGGGGGTGATGAAAAGAGACTTGACTTGGAGTGGTACACACACAATACAATATACAGATTATGTATTGTAGAATTGTATACCTGAAACCTATATAATTTTATTAACCAATGTCACCCCAATAAACTCCATTAATTTAAAAAGAGGGGAGGTGAGTCATTTTAACAACAAATATTTTTTATTATATTTCTAAACAAATACTATAATAATTTCTTCTCTTTCATAAAAAAATTTAAATATTTATAACATTCAGTTTGGGAAAAGACAAACAAAGAGTAAAAATGAAGAAAAATAATCAAAAGACAAATTTAAGGACAAAATAAATATAGCCTAGCTACATGCTAGCCTGGCCCTGGTAGCTGCTGCCAGAGTTCCAGACCCTCAGTTTCAGAATTAGCAGGAGTTCAAAATTTCATCCAGCTTCAACTTGTCCAAGGGGGGGATTTTGGTGACTTCACGGAAGAGCCTGCAAAAGAGACATCTGCTCAGCGTAAAATAGGTCAAAGCAAGCAGAGTTCGTGGAATAAGTGGGATACAGGGCCCTTGCTTGGTTCTCTATCTTGCTTTAACCCTGGAGCAGAAAGTAAGGTAAAAAGTACCTCAATCTTTCTTTTCCCTTAATTGAGGCTAGTCTGGGCCTCCCAATGACTGAGCACAAACCCAACCTCAGCTGGAACATGGTACTTACTGGTGAGAATACTTGGAACGCACAGTCTTGAGCCTATCATCCCAAGGATGCAAAGTCAGCAGAGTGTTAAGCTTTTTGACCAAGGGGTAAAGATCAGAGGTCGTGTAGCCACTGTAATATTCCAGGGAAGGAGCCTGGAAGAAGCAACATAAACAGGGATTTTTATGACAGGAAGCAGACCCTTCCTCTGTGTCTACTATCCCAAATCCAAACTTCCTATCCATGGTATAGAAAGGGAAGTGAGTGAAACATTTCAGAGACTCATACGTCATAGACACTGACCAATTATTATAGAATAAGTTCCAGCCACAAACTAGTAGTATTGCTATATCCATATGTACCAGTTGGATATTAACCCTGGCCATAGATATTCAAGTAAGTGGAAATCTACCACCAAAGAATCCAAGGAACAGGACTGACTTTGTAATTTACTCACTTTCAGGTCAAGAGCCAATGACCAGGCAAACCACAGAACAAACTTGAGGTCCCAACTCAACAGCCAGCAGGAACTTAAGGCTGTTCCTCCTCTCTGGATCTACCAGCTATCATTCCATGCATTCATTTTCTCATTCAATTTTAAGGAGGCCTATTATGTGGCAGAAGCAATATAGCAAAGTATTTAAGAGCAAATCTTCTGGAAGCAAACTGCTGGGGTTCAAATTCTAGTTTAACTTATAGCATGGCCTTGAACTGGTCATTTAACCTCTTGGTGCCTCAGTTTCCCAATCTGCCAAATGGGGATCATTACAGTAATTACATTATATGATTAAACGAGTTAATATAGACAAAGCACATAGAACAGAGCACATAGTAAGTGCCTAAATAATGCTAGCTAGGATGAATAATATTACCATGCCATGTATAGGATGCTGGGAATACAAAGATGACTAAAGCTCCTGCTCTTGAGGAGTCTATAGTCTAGTGGGGGAGACAGACATGCACAGAGAGAATTACAAAATACATAGGAAGTACTATGAGGGACATGAGCATAGGGCGCTGGAGGCACAGGGCAGCAAAGACCCACAAACTCTGGCCAGGAGAGTAACAGAAAGCTTCATAGAAGAGGGGACATCTACAATGAGTGTTTAAAGTCAAGTAGAAGCTCCACAGGTAGAGAAAGGAAGATTTATTCTATTATGCAGTGATTTTCTAAAAATACCTTAAATTATTTTGCCCAAACCCCTTTTCAAAAAATATCTTACCTGGAAGCCCAAATATCTTACCTGGAATTGGGGGCAAGGGCTAAGAAGCCCACGCCCTTTATCTTTTATATGGCCCCTGAGACAGTTCTGCAGGAATCCCAGGGCTCTACCGAATACTGTTTGAAAACGACTGCCACAGGCAAAGGGCATCATTGGCATGCTGAGTGGGGGAGTAACATTCGGTAACACATTATATTTAATGTGTTAAGTAAGATTAGTGGCCCTATTGTCACTGCATCAGTTCAGGCCCCAGTGCTTCACCTTGACTATTACAAAAGCTTACTTGCCAATGTTGCCACTTTTACACTCTCTATCATCTAGTATACCTTCTATACTGCTCTACCAGTACTGTTTCCAAAGCACACAAACAGGGGCATGTCACCCCCGTCTCAAAAACTTCCAGTGCCTTAGTATAAAATGGGTCTCTCAGCATGACATCAAAGGTCTCTTACAATCTGAACGCATCCTACCATTCTGGCCTCATCTCTCACCATTCCCTGTTCAGATAGCCTCTTCTCTATCCACAGAAAATGTCTTATTCTGCCTCCAACACATCACACTATTTATTACCTTCACGTTGTTCAATTATTGTTCCCTGTACCTAAAAGGTCTCCTCTCACAAGTTTCTTTCAAGATCCAACTCAAAAGTCACCTCCTTCGTTAAGCCTTTCTTAACTATAGAAGCAGGATATATAGCCTAGAGGATTGTGGAACCAGATGACCAGGGTTCAGATCAGGGTTGACATTTAGCTGATATTCATTGATACAACCATGTCAAGTGGTAAAACATTGAAATATTTCTATAATGGCTGGCAAGCAGTTTGTTGCCCTGAGCCACTCAATTGTTCCCCTCAGTACCAACCAGACTTCCCCAGGACCTATGGAGGTCAAAGCGTGGCTTAGCATGGAACCTCCAGGACCATAGCTCCAGAGCTATGGCCACACCCATTCTGATTATACAGTACTGGTTGTATACCACTCCTAGTTCTGCCTCTCCTTAGCAAAACATGGGAATTTATTTCTTATCTATAAAATAGGGAAAATACTGATCTTGTAGGGTTATTATTGTAAAAATTAAATGAGTTCATACAAAGTGCTTAGATCACTAAGCACTCAACTTATATAAACATAACTGTTTATAGAGTTCTTTCTCAGCATACAGAGGCTTTCCCATCAGTAATGGCTCTAGGATTTCTAAGTTGCAGGGGTTTAGGGGTGGTTGGGAAGAGTATGCTCATTTGTAAGCATACTCATTCTTGCTTGGATTGCATGTTACACATCAGTAAAAATTCATAATTCTATGAGGATGCTTTTCACAATTTTTCATAAAATTGAAAGCATCAAATGAGTTTTACTTGTTTTGGGGAAGGAGGTTCTGGGGCCTTCCTCTTCAGAGAAGAACACTACAGAATACCTGTAAGTCCCCTATTACACACATGGACAGTTGCTTTCACTACTCTTTTATATGGGTCAGTGCTTTTCAAACTCTGTTCCAACAAGCTCCCTCGGGAGGGCAACCTCACTGAGGTGACTACAAGGGGCAGAGGTGGAATGGAGTCAGGTAGGAAGTGGGCCCGCTCCACCCCTGCTGCAACCAGAATAATTTCACATTAGTCTGTTTTGTGATATTGGGCTTTCAGATAAGCTTTCCTTGGAACAAAGGGTACTGTGACTAAGAAAAATGGAATAAAATACTTCAAAACAATTGCTGTAGAAACCTTTAGGCAGCCAGGACCCTAAGATGTCGAGATGTCAAAGAATTCATAACTGTGGGTACATGGCAGTTTTGGCACCAAATCTCCCACAGCCCTAATTTATACCTTCCTCCTGAGCCAAACCTTTGCTTTTCAATCCCCATCCCATGCCCCTAGGCAGAGTTTACCAAGTGTCCAAGCTTCTTCATGTGGAGGGCCAAGAGGAAGGAACCAGCAGCTAGCTTAGAAGCCCTTTCCTGGATATAGTCATATTCCTGCAGGGTCAACTCGCAGATGAATCGGGACAAGATTACTGCATTCATGTTGACTTGGACACTCTAAAGGGAGCAAGAGGACCAGTTCAGGAAGCAATTCAGAAAACCAGCACCAAGCAGAAGACCCCCTGCACCTACTCTTTCCAGTTATCCCACCTCAGGCCTAAATGGCTTTCTGCCTGAACAATAGATCTCTCCTACCATCATGATTCACACTAAGGCACCCTACCCCTGAAAGCACAGAATCTTAAGGGGGCAGGGTGGATTATGAAATCAGCAGTGGTATTCACTACCTTTATGGTTTGTAACCAAATTACCAAATGCACCTGTGGTACCTTCCCATCTAATCTTTCTGTACAGGTCATCCTTTGAAGAGCCAAAGCCTTCCAACTACAACTTTGCATCTGGTTCCATACTAGGATGTATTCCATTGTCCAAAAGAAGTCCTTCCCCTTTCTTGTTGGTATTTTTTAAAATTATAACCTATAACACACACATTGAGGAAAAGTATACAACACCCACTTGTAGAATGCAGTGAATAATTATAAAGTGACCTCCCCTGTAACCAATACTCAGGTGAAGGAAGTGAACTTTGCCAGCATCTCCCCCAAACTTCTCAAGTGTCCCTCATAAAAGAATCTTCTTTCCCTCTCCTACTCTGCCCTCACCTCAAAACTTTACAGACATACTGTGCAAACCTCCAATTTTCTTCCTCCTACACTTCATAAAGATTGCTAATCTAGGTGGGTGGGTTGAAGAAGAAATTCCTTGTCCCCAATTGTCCCTTTCCCTACCACTCAGTCAGCCACTCTGGGTATTGAGGAGACAAACCCAGCAGGGAGAATGGAAATGTGCTTTCTCTCTCTTACCATAGAATACATGCGCAGAAAATGATAGGCAACAGGAATGTTGATATCAAATTTGAGGGCTTTTAGGATGCTGATTTCCATGGCAAGCATCTCATGTCTCTGATAAGCCTCATCACAGACGTACAGGAAGTCATCCAAACAAGGTGCATAGGACTCCTATAGGTGGAGAAGAGAGACAGTCACACCAGGCCAAGACAGCCCACTCCTCTCTGCTTGGAGATGAAAGGCAGAGGGGGAGGGGTTGAAGGATAGGAGGCACTGACATTTCCTGGAATAAATCTTCAGGTTAGCTCTGAGAGCCAGCTTCTGGTTGATTTGAGTGGCCCATCTGAAAAACAAAGTCAGAAAGGCAAGAGAGATCTGCCTCAAAACTGCACCACTGGAGAAAGGATGGGGACTCTGGGGATGGATTCTTACAGCATTGGAAGCACATAATATGGCACAAGGACAGGGATCAGTGATCTCTCTTCTCATGGGTGAGAGCCAGGAATGGGAAATCTAAGGCCTGCTCTGGTGGAAGGGAAGAAAAGAGAACACAGAAAGGGGAACTAGAGATGGAAAATAAGCCCTCACTACATGTCATAGTCTAAGGAATAAATAAAGATGTTTGGGAGGGGGCACTGCTGGGGTAACAGGCAGTGAGAGAAAGGCAGGCAGGCACAGAGGGAGACTAGGCTGAGACTGAGGACTACAGGGGGTGGGAGGATGTGCATTAGGGGCTAGACTAGAAAGATCCAGGCCAACCCAAGGGTGAGAAGAACCTTGTCTGGGAGCACCTTCCCATGTCCCACCCTCTGCAGACTGAAACTTGGTTTTGGGGAGAGGACTGGGAGGCAGAAAGACCACTGCATTTTTTCTCTAGATGCATCCACCTGGTCATCCCAGCCTTTATTCAAACTTTTCTCTGTCTCTCTAATTTCATATCACAAATTGGATTAACCCTTTGGTTTTTCAGACAGGAAATTGAGGCCCAGAGGGAAGAAGTAACTTGCTCAAGTTCACACAGCAACCTAGTGGTGACCAGGGCAAGAAGCTCTCCCTTCCTTTGCTCTACTCACCACTGGCTCCTTCCTTTCTTCTCTTCTCATACCATCTCCACACCTCCCCTTGCAAAAGTCTTTCTGTACTTCTCAATCCTGTGAGGGGAATATACCCCCTTTTCAAAAAACTTAGTGGGGGCCCTTTGTCCTGGCAACCAAAAGAGGCATGCTCCTTGTTCCAAGATTTGCTGAGAAGTGCCCCCTTGAGGCTGAGGCATAAAGTACTTGCTCAAGCCATGAAAATAGCCCTAGGTAGGGAAAGGGGAAGGCGAAGGAGGGAGAGAGAGAAGGAAGAAGAGAGAAGGAGGGGAAACAAGGGAATGAACCAAGGAGTAGGTGAGCAAGAAGTGGAGAAAATGAGCCAGAGAGGAAAGCAGTAAGGAGGGAGCAAGGGAGAGTATGAGAGAAGAAGAGGGGAAAGAGGGAGAAAGGGGAAAAGGAGATTAGGGAGGTTAGGGGACAATGGAAGGCAGCAAGTGAGAGTGGGTGGGAGGGAGTCCGCAAGGAAGCAAGCAAGAAAGGGAGCTATCAGAGAGGGATCAGAGAGGAAGCTTGGAGGGAGAGCAAGGGAACCAGGGAGCAAGTGACTAGGGAAGGAAATGAGCCAGAGAGGCAAACATTGAGGGAGAGAGCAAGGGAGGGAGGAAGAGAGATAGGGAGCAAGGGAAGAAAGAGACTAGGGAGTGAGGGTGGTAGGTAGGGAAGGAAGGGGCAAGAGAGCAGAGGAGAAAAGGAATTAGCAGAAAAGGGGAGGCAAGGAGAGGGAGGGAGCAAGGCATAAGAGAAGCAAGGCTGGGGAGGAAGGGACAAGCAAGGAAGAGAGGATGGGTTGGAGGGGAGAGATTAGCAAGGGAAGGGGAGAGAAAGGAAGGGAGGGAGGAAGGAAGGAAAGGACAGAAGGCAGGAGGGAGGATGGAGTGGGACTTGGATAGAAATCTGATTGATTAGTTCTCTCCAGGTCCTATGAACTCAGGCTCACCTCAAATTTTGCTGCAATCAGAAATGCAGTGGAACCAAGGAGTTGCAGCTTCTCTTTCTTGCATATTTTCTTCATAAGGTAGTGATCCACCAGCTTCACTGCCAAGTAGAGGGTCTCATGATTCAGCTCAAAGGTAACCTGGAGGAATACACAAACAGGGCAAAAATCTGCATATTGTCCAGCTCCAAAATCACATCCAGATAAATCTGACTACCTGGTCTGCAGCATTGAGCACAGTAGAGCTACCAGACCTGGCCAGCTGAGATTCAGCTATGAATACGGGAACTACTTCAAGTAGGTGCCTGACTATATATCCTGCAACTTTGAGAACACTGGCATTATCTATCCCTACATTTGGGTAGGTGACCAGTCTTAAAAATCAGAGAGAGAGGCTCTGCCTTCTCTAGCAACATCTTGAATGAACACACTCTCTCTCCTTGATCTCCAATACATACTTACGTTTCTTGCTTTCCCTATTTGCTACTACCTTATACAGTGAATTCCCAAAAGAGATCATGTTTATTTAGCTCTGAAACACAGAGACTTGTTTACTCATTAGTTTATTCATCTATTACAATCTCTTCCCAACTAGCTATGCTATTAGAATGTATAGATTCGGAGCAAGTACCAATAGCACCATTTGGAAGTGAGCTGAGGGTCTGAAGAAGTCAGACTGAGATTAAATAATTAGTAGTATAACCCTTCTTTTATTTATCCCCCCTTCACCAATTCCAAGAACCCATCTCCTATAAAAGTAGTCCCAGAGTCAGTGCTGGTCTATATGGTATCTTTGTGAAAATTAGAAAAAAGTTACCTTCTTTGGGTGAATGCAGCCCTGAAGGCACACATATTATCAAGTAGATAATACTTTTATATGAATTAGCAAAAGGTGCCCCTGCCTCAGGGCATAGCAGCCCCACACCAGAATGCACAGCTTGGCAGAGTATGAGCTGGATTCCACTGCCTGCTTTTGCCTTGGTTGAAGGCAATGTGTAGCCACAATTTTCATTGTACACAAGGGCCCTATTCAAGCCTCAGTGATGCTTCTTCCTCACAATCCCTTAGGGTCTTAGGGTTTGAGAATAATAAAATCTATATTAGTCCAACAGCTCAACCAATGCTTGAACCCTCTCTTTAATGTCTCCACCAAATAGTTATTCAGTTCCTGCCATAAAACCTCCAAATACAGCCCAATCTCTCTTTGAATAGTTTTAACAGAAAAATATTCTTTATATTGAGGAGAAAAAACCTTCCCTGTAAATTTCACCTACTTCATTGGGACTCCTTTTGTACAGGCTACATTTATTGACTGGAGCCTAGTTGGCCACAAAGTAGGTCAATAAGAAGCTTTGGAGAAGTGGATGTATATAGCATATGTGAATGATTATCAGAAGATGGTTGAATACATTGGTTCAGCAATAGATACATTAAGTTTTTGAATAACAAAAATAACAAAAAGCTGTTTCTATTGTTCCTGGGATATGGCCTTGGGTATTCTCAGAAATCTGCCTTCATTAGTTTCCTACTGCCGCTGTAATAAATTATTACATATTTAGTGGCTGAAAATAACATATATTCATTATCTAACAGATCTGGAGTTCAGAAGTTCAAAATAGGACTCGCTGGGTTAAAAAAAAATCAAGGTATTAGCAGGGCTGTGTTTCTTTCTAGAGGTTTTAATGAAGAACCTTTTTTCTAGCTCCTACAGGGTTCCTGCATTCCTTGGTTTGGGGTTCCTTCTATCTTCAAAGCCAGCAATGGCGAGCTGAGTCTTTTTTCTTCTTCTTCTTTTTTCTTTTTTGAGTCTTTTTCATAGTATATCACTTTCTGACTTCCTCTTCCACATTTAAGGACTCGTGATTACATTGGGCCCACCTGGATAATCCAGGGTAATCACCACCTTAAATTCAGCTGATTACAATCTTAATTCCATAGTCTACTTAATTTCCCTTTATCATGTAAGGTAATACACAGAGTGGGACAAAAGTAGGTTTACAATTGTGAGTATGCAAAACACAAAGTTTATTCTTGTATTATTATTTATTAATTATTGTATTATTTTCCATAAGAATAACTGTAAACCTACTTTTGCCCACCCCTATATTCACAGGTTCTGGGGATTAGGGTGTGGACATTTTATTCTGCCTACTACATTTTCCAAAGAAATGTCATAAGAAAGGAATGAGGATAATTAATGCAGATGAAGGTTAATGAGTACCACCTTAAATGTCAAGAAACTGAGGTCAAATAATTACAAAAAAAGAGGGTAGGAATGGAAAGGAGCAATTCTCTGAGGATGATGCCTCTGTGAACAAATGACAAAGTCAGTGCCTGTATTGCCTCCTGACAGTACTTTATGTAGGCACTTGGCCACCCGTGAAGTAGGTTGTTGTCAAATGGAAACATCTAAAAGTGTGGGTAATACCTGAATGAATGACTGAAATTTGGAGTCAATAAATATTTAAATCAGCAGCTGTGTCAGTTAAGCAATCCTTTTTCCTTGAATGTAAAACATTCTAACATAATTCTTCTAACATAATTCTACTCCTTGGGACTACATGGAATAAATTTAATCCTTCTGTGACAGCCCTTCAACTAGGGAGATATCTGGAATACTGTCAACAATTTAAAAAAATTTAAAAAAAGAAAACAGTTATGTTTCCTATAAGTCTCCATTCTAGACCAAATAACTTGACTTCTTCAGATATGGTTTACTGTCCCCTCAGCATCAGGCTCCAAATGAAGAGCCTAACTTTGTGCCAGTTAGAGAAGAGTGGCAGTGCCCCGGGTAATTTCAAGCAGCTACAACACATGTAGAGAAGAAACCTTTCAGCACAGTAGCAAGGTTCTCTTCTTCATGACTGCCTTTGGCTAGCATACCACTCCAATTCTTAATAAATGACTACTCTCCATATCTGGAGATGGGTAAGAAGAAACAAAAGGGAAGTAATAAATAAAACTATAGAAAATATAAAGATTAATCTTAATCTTGAACTAGAATACAAATCTGACAAAATTCATCTTAAACTCAAAAACTAAAAGATCATCTTCCACAGTGATGAATAAACAGAGAAAATCAACGAGATATATGAAAAAGAACAAGTAATTTTTCAATGAGAAATGTTCTGAAGAATTAAAGCAAATGTCTACTTATGAAACTTTTTTACTCCAAAACACTGGAATAAACTTTTAAAAATTATACTCTCAACAAGATCTCAGAGGACACTGAATCCATGAAAAGAGAATACTGGGATTCAGAATGTCTAGTCTCTGGTGAAAAAGCAATTACTTAACTTAAAAATGTAATAAAGGCAGTGAACAATATATTCATAATCATAGCCAAAAAAAAAAAAAAAAAAAAATTCAA